AGCAAAGCGCGATCCAATTTGCTCCTGCTGGGGAAACTCCTTCCTGATCTCCCGAGAGGCAATCGGATATTCCCTGGATCAGCTCTACCTATAAATGTTATATCCAGTTATATTCTGTGTATCCAAGAAAGAATCCAGGACTTTCCTACAGCAATCCACTGAGCTGGCCACAACCAACTCTGGAGGGAGTCTATTCCACATTCTCACAGCTCTTACTGTGAAGAAACCTTTCCGTGTTTGGAGATTACATTTCTTTTCCTCCAGACGTAAAGAGCGCCCCCTTGTCCTCTGTGATGACCTCAAGGGGGATAACTACACCGAGCTCACTATATGAAACACTGATGTATTATACATGGAGATCATATCCCCCCTTATGTATTATACATGGAGATCATATCCCCCCCTTATGTATTATACATGGAGATCATATCCCCCCCTTATGTATTATACATGGAGATCATATCCCCCCCTTATGTATTATACATGGAGATCATATCCCCCCCTTATGTATTATATACATGGTGATCATATCCCCCCTTATGTATCATACATGGAGATCATATCCCCCCCCTTATGTATCATACATGGAGATCATATCCCCCCCCCTTATGTATTATACATGGAGATCATATCCCCCCCCCCTTATGTATTATACATGGAGATCATATCCCCCCCCCTTATGTATCATACATGGAGATCATATCCCCCCCCCCTTATGTATTATACATGGAGAGATCATATCCCCCCCTTATGTATTATACATGGAGATCATATCCCCCCTTATGTATTATACATGGAGATCATATCCCCCCCCTTATGTATTATACATGGAGATCATATCCCCCCTTATGTATTATACATGGAGATCATATCCCCCCTTATGTATTATACATGGAGATCATATCCCCCCTTATGTATTATACATGGAGATCATATCCCCCCTTATGTATTATACATGGAGATCATATCCCCCCTTATGTATTATACATGGTGATCATATCCCCCCCTTATGTATTATACATGGAGATCATATCCCCCTTATGTATTATACATGGTGATCATATCCCCCCTTATGTATTATACATGGAGATCATATCCCCCCTTAATCTCCTCTTCTCAGTAGAGAATACATTCAGTTCCTCTAATCTTTCCTCATAGCTGATCTCCTCCATACCTCTTATCAGTTTACTTGCCTCTCTCTGTACTTTCTCCAGTTCCACAATGATTTTTTGGGAATTGGTACCCAAAATTGACCTACATATTCCAGATGAGGTCTTACTAATGATTTGTATTGGCGGGAAGGGGGGGGGGGTGATATCTCTCTCTCTCTGGAGTCTATACATCTCCTAATACAAGAGGATTTTTCTCACTTTAGAACCCGCAGCTTGGCATTGCTGCCATTATTAAGCTTGTGACCTACCAGAACCCTCAGATCCTTCACCATAGACCCCCCCCCCCAGATCGTTCACCATTGACCCCTCCCAGATCCTTCATCGATTCCCCCAAATCCTTCTCAACCATTGACCCCCCCCAAGATCCTTCACCACCATTGATCCCCCCCAAGATCCTTCATCATAGATTCCCCCAAATCCTTCACCACCATTGACCCACCCAAGATCCTTCTCCACACCTGACCCCCCCAGATCCTTCAACATTGATTCCCCCAGTTGTACACCCCCCCCCCCAGTATGTATGATGCATGCATATTCTTAGCCCCCAAGTGATATCTCCCTCTCTCTGGAGTCTGTACCTCTAATACAAGAGAGGATTAGAAACCGTAGAAATCACAATGTGATGACAGCCCTGTACATACTGATGCAAACCCGAATCTTCACATCCATCCATGGTAATAAATCCCTGATGCAATTATCTGAGCTACAGTTGCCAGTCTCCATAGCTCAGTGACACCTCGGGGACATTGGCAGAGTGTAGACTCCATAGCAGGGAGTCCCGGGGTGGGGGGGGGAGCGCACTGTACACAGAGAGTAGGACTCCAATAATCCTCCGGCTGGCAGATGGCAGAGAAAGGTCAATTAGGTATTCATCTCTCGGTGCCAGCTGTCCTCCCGGTGTCAGGGGATAACTGGGTGACATAATCTGGGGGGTAGATAACCGGACAATGATCTGGTGTGATAATCCATAGGAGAGCCTTGTGATCCCTTCCCAGGCGCCCCCCCCCCCGGAGATGGCGATATTCTATACACCGCGTCTAGACCAGACCCGCCGCTCTGTAACTGCAATGACAAGCCGCAGCTAATGAAAGCCAGAAAAATATTACAAAGTGACCTACATTCCAGGGAGGATCTACAGTCCAGGGAGGATCTACAGTCCCGGGAGGATCTACAGTCCAGGGAGGATCTACAGTCCAGGGAGGATCTACAGTCCCGCGAGGATCTACAGTCCCGCGAGGATCTACAGTCCCGCGAGGATCTACAGTCCCGCGAGGATCTACAGTCCCGCGAGGATCTACAGTCCCGCGAGGATCTACAGTCCCGCGAGGATCTACAGTCCCGCGAGGATCTACAGTCCCGCGAGGATCTACAGTCCAGCGAGGATCTACAGTCCCGGCCCTCTACAAACACTCGGTCTGGGATATGCAGCTCAGATTTGGTCCCCGATTCTCAGAAAAGGCGTGGTGTCGTTGAATTGGGGCGGAGCAACATTACCCCGGTGCGGTCCCGCTGTGCTTTGGCCAAAGTGCGGTTCTGGTGCGGGTTGGCCCACAGACTCTCAGGAAGCCCTGCGATTTGGGTTGGCTTTCAGAAGTGCACCGCAGATGCGGCAGAGTTGGTGCACTTTCTGAAATCGCACGAAACCGCATTGAAGTCACTTTGGGTTACATGCACTTTCAGCAAACGCACAGCAGGGCAGTGGGAAGCCGCCCTTGAGCCCGGGTTCACATACATGCGGTGCGGGATATCACATGTGATTCACACAGGAACCGCACCACACTCCTGTGCACATCACGTGATTTCTGTGCGATGCGACTGGAGCCGTAAATATTGTATGGATTTAATCGCACCGCACCAAAAACATGCAGGACACTTTTATTGGTCCGCACTAGAATCGGATGGCACGGGTATTCACACCCATGTGATCCGATTCTGCACATCACACCACGTTTTACAGACCGCTTTCCAGGGTTTCAGAGCAGCTAACCAAGCATAATCTGTGCCCGGTGAGCTGCTTTGGAGGGCAGGGGAAACACTGGGGTCTAACAGATCCCCCTATCATCTTTATAGAAGAGGACCTGTCACCGGCCCAATGCTATCAAATGAGATTTTGTTAACCTCCTTGTGATAGCAATAAAGTTTAATGACAAGTTCACCTGTGGGAACACGTTACATGTTCCACCCATTTTATTCCCACTGCCCCCCCCCCCCCCCCACTCTCACAGAAGTACAGGGACAAGTTCCCTATACTTGTGGTCAGATTTAAAAACAGTGCGGCTGTGCGAGGCTCCGCCCACATGGTGGCAGTCAGTCATTCACGGAGTTCTGTGAATGAACGAACTACAAGTCCCAACAGTCTTAGTGGCTGCCGGCTTATAGTTCTCTATGAACTACCACATTCACAACAGCCTTGTGCCATAAGACACGCTGTGACCAATCACAGCTCACACAGCATTTCTCAATGGCTGCAAGAATGCAGCCAGAGAGGAGAAATTATTGCTTTTACAGCCTTTATAGGTGTAAAAAATAAAAAAAATGTTCATCACCCCCCACAAGTACCATGGCGACACTGTACTGCTAGGGTGACAGTAAGTAAAAAAAGTAAAAACAAAAAAAATTACACAAAATTTTTGCTTTTTTTGTTGTAACCATATTGGTAAAACAAAAAAACAAAAGAAAAAAAAAAAAATTAAAAAAAAAAAAAAAAAAACAGTTGCACAAATATAGTGCAACATAAACTGCAAAGATGTCTTTTTTATTCTACAGGGCCTCGGCTTTCAGAAAATATATATTGTTTTGTGAGTTTTCTGTCATTTTATGGCAAAAAATTGTGCACAGGAGCACTCGTTACCTCTCTAGGAGGTCTACACTGGGCCTAAGGCAGGTTGCTTCCAGTCCGGACCTCCCCCCCCCCCCCCCCCCCCCCCCCACACTGTACCCATATGAATTTTTTAGCATTTTTTTTTTTTTGAGACAGATAAAACTTTATTTTGGGGGTATTTATTCCCCACTGGGATTTTTATGTTTTTGCTATATAAAGTCCAAGACTTTTGAAGAAAAAAAAAAAAAAAAAAATAGTTTCTTATAACATTTTGCAAATAAACTCTCTTCATAGATCTTGGCCAAAATTTATTTGGCCATCTTTTTAAAAAAAAAAAAAAAAAAAAAATTGTTTATAACCAAAAAATAATAATTTTTCTAAATTTTGTTTTACATTTAATTTTTTTATTTGTTTTTTTTTCTTCTAACATACTGTCACCATGGTGACACTGTACTACTTGTGGGGGGTGATTAAGATCTTTTCTTTTTCTACACTGATTGCTTTTACACCCATAAAGGCTGTAAAAGCAATCATTTCTCCTTCTCTCTGGCTGCATTCCTGCAGTCACAGAGAAATACTGTGAGCTGTGATTGGTCACAGCTTGTCACATGGTACAGGGCTATTCACAACATTGCCTTGTACCATGTGATCTCTGTGATCATTCACAGATTTCACAAGTAGTAAGCAATGATGTCAGGAAGTGATATCTTGTTTACTACTGTTCATGTGATCACTGGTTGGCCAATCAGTGATCACATGAATTGGAACCTCACACAGAGGTCCCGTACAGCGATCTGTCTCCGGCGAATCCAGCGGGCACTCCAAGCTCCCAGAGAGCGTGCACAGGCAATGGATGCGGGGGGACGTTTAGAACCTTCCACCTGCATTATCAGAGCTCCCGTCCAACCGTTTATCTACATGGGCCGGATGGGAAGTGGCTAAAGAACTTTCCGGTCTCAGAGAACCCCGGCTAAAAATGACTATCTACAACTCATGATACATTGGTGTGATGGTCAGTGGGAAGAATGTCCCTTACATTGGGGGTCAGTGGGAAGAATGTCCCTTACATTGGTGGTCAGTGGGAAGAATGTCCCTTACATTGGGGGTCAGTGGGAAGAATGTCCCTTACATTGGTGGTCATGGGGAAGAACGTCCCTTACATTGGTGGTCAGTGGGGAAGAACGTCCCTTACATTGGTGGTCAGTGGGGAAGAACGTCCCTTACATTGGGGGGGTCAGTGGGAAGAACGTCCCTTACATTGGGGGGTCAGTGGGAAGAACGTCCCTTACATTGGGGGGTCAGTGGGAAGAACGTCCCTTACATTGGGGGTCAGTGGGAAGAACGTCCCTTACATTGGGGATCAGTGGGAAGAACGTCCCTTACATTGGTGATCAGTGGGAACGTCCCTTACATTGGGGGTCAGTGGGAAGAATGTCCCTTACATTGGGGGTCAGTGGGAAGAATGTCCCTTACATTGGTGATCAGTGGGAAGAATGTCCCTTACATTGGGGGTCAGTGGGAAGAATGTCCCTTACATTGGGTCAGTGGGAAGAATGTCCCTTACATTGGTGATCAGTGGGAAGAATGTCCCTTACATTGGGGGTCAGTGGGAAGAATGTCCCTTACATTGGGGGGGGTCAGTGGGGAAGAATGTCCCGTACATTGGGGGTCAGTGGGAAGAATGTCCAGTACATTGGGGGTCAGTGGGAAGAATGTCCAGTACATTGGGGGTCAGTGGGAAGAATGTCCAGTACATTGGGGTCAGTGGGAAGAATGTCCCTTACATTGGTGGTCAGTGGGAAGAATGTCCCTTACATTGGGGGTCAGTGGGAAGAATGTCCCTTACATTGGTGATCAGTGGGAAGAATGTCCCTTACATTGGGATCAGTGGGAAGAATGTCCCTTACATTGGGGGTCAGTGGGAA